GGACACTGATATTTGAGAAAACTAGGATTCACAAAATTCTTCAGTATGGCTATGACAAAAGTTATGTTAAAACTTTAAAATCCCTTAGAAGAGTCAAAATAAACCAAATAAATCATGAAGTTCACAGATTCTCCTGTTGCAGTAACACCTGTTATTGTCTTCTGCTTTTTTCATTAAGGATGGAGCTAAACACAGTCTTGCTCTGGCAGCTTAAGTGTATATATGTAAATATATACGTGTGTGTGTGTATATGTATGTACTACAAGAAAATTTAGAAACACTGCTGTTTTTCAGGGGGAAAAATAATAGGATAAGTAGGATTTGATGAATAAAGCCTGAAGTGGATAGATCCTAGAGAGATTAAGTGAAGGTAACTATCATGGTAGGGATCTTAAGGGAAATGAGCAAACGACTATCAAGCTATGCACACAGATCTGTAAAGAGCAGGAAATCAGGGCAGTATCTTGATATTAAAAGTTGGAGAGCAGTATATTGATGTGTAAAAACTCCAAACTCACAAACCAGCAGCTTCCTTCATACTACAGCAGCTTCCCATGCAGAAAAATAATTAATCTTTTCTATTGCAAGAAAATATGTTACATATGTTCTTCTTAATAACCATTGCTGTGATTATTATGCKTCAGAAGAGAAATACGGGTTCTAAGGCATTTCACATGTGAAACACAAGTGTGGGGAGGAAAAAGCTGTCCAGAATTAAAAGGTGTTACAACATTAAGTTGTAGCTATCTGAAAAAACATGGAACAAGATACAATTATAGTTGGTAGTCTCTGAAGTGTAAAATCCTTTTTGTGGTTTTCATAAATTCTGAAGTGTTGGCAGATGAGCACCACTGTAATAGAAAACATGCCTGTCCCCAGCTGCCTGCTYTGCCTCGCTCCCCAGTGTCTCTGTGCCCCTAAAAGGGCCAGAAAACAGACCTGAGGCCTCAGCTGCTTCTGAGAGAGGCTTTTCTAGCACAAAGGCAGCTTTGTCACCTGCTGCATGTAGGATGCAGGACTGTGCATTGGTGTTGCTTAGGCAAGGAGAGACACTGCACTTTGAAGGACTTGGGAGATGGGAGTTCTGCAATCCCTGCAGCAGGGCTTGTCAGCAATTCCCAGTGCAGAGCCACGTTAGTCCCAAGGTCTCATTTAGTTCAGCTCTTTGGGTGGGACTCACCTGAGAACTGGCATTTGCCATCAATTGTTCCCAAGAGTTTGACTTAAAAACTAAGCTTTTATAATATCTTTTATTTTTAAATAAATCACTTTTTACATGATGGAAGTGTATTTTAAGTACAATTTTATGCATATAAGAAGGCTGGTTTTTTCACCTCATTTTCAAAGGCAAATTACACATAATGAATTTTAGGAAAAAAATAGCAGTAAAAGCTACATTTATCAAATTTTGCAGACAAAAAAAATGTACAAAGATGTCTAAGTGTTTTCAGATGTTTTTATTTTACACCTGGCACAATAATTTGTATGTCTCAACTAGAAACTGGACAGATGACAAACTGAAGAGGAAATCAGTGCAGGCAAAGCAAACTGTTGAACCTATAAAGACAGTAAATAATGCTTCTAGAACTCATAATTTTGCTTGTTAACTTCAGTAAGGCTCTGGAGAAGCTAAGAACATTAAAAAAAAAACAAATATAATCTGGTTACAACACTTATATGTGATTTTGAAAATTATAGATCATGTCTGAAATTTGTCAAAATTTGTGTTAGCATATATACTGCCCTGCTGAGAAATTGCAGTCATTAAACGCATTTCCTTAGTTCCTGAAACAAAATTATTTAAATAAATATTAGTATTTATTACTTCAGAATTATTCTAACTAAATTACAACACTTTTGTAATAAGCAGGCTCACACTCTGTTGAGCTTCTCCTTAATATATGTTGGACATTTGGACTGCTGTATTTGGCATTTTTACTTCCATGGTTTTGCTTCTTTTATGTTTTCATARCCTAGAAATTTTCAGAATTTCCCCAAATGCATACAAAATCACAGGAAAAAAATATATTGCTACATCTTCCATAATCAATTTAAATTCTTCTGCCAAGAGAGGTAAGCTTCCAGGGGCTGTGTGTTCCTGGATTCAGTGTCTCGCTGCAGTCACTCCCCAAGTGATTGACTGCCCCAAAGCCTCAGCRAACTCCTAAATCTCTGGGCAGTCACTGTGGAGGACTGGAGTTAGGACATGAGGTATTGATAGATTTTGCTACTATAGTTTGGGTTAGGACGGCTACATTTTTATAGTGTTTCTCTGGGTTGCATTGTTTTATTTTAAGTATTTATATATACTTTTTTCTCTCTTAAAAGGTAGAACAAATCTGTGACTCTGGCCTGCATTTTGTGTTTGAGGTAAGGCTCTTTCAGTACTCGGTATTGCTTTTGTGTTCCCAGTGTCAAGACATACAAAATATTATATTCAATATTGAACTTAGAGCTTTCTTTTTAACATAACACTAAAGGTAACATGGTTAGTCAGTCTGTTCCACAGAGGAAATGGTTTGTATTTACCCGTTTGGGAGTGTCTGGTTGCTRTATCCAGGCAAGTGTCCCAGGCATAATCCAAGCAACAAACCCAAAGAAGGAGGCATTGAAATCTGGCTYAAGGATGTCAGAATGCGGTTTCAGCACCAGCATGGCCTGGCAGGGCAGTGTTGGCACCTATGTAGGGAGAAAGGGGCCAAACTCTTCTCAGTGGTGGCCAGTGACAGGACAAGGGGCAATGGGTSCAAGTKGAAACCCAGGCAGCTCCATGTGCATGTGAGGAAGAACTTGTTTGGTGTGAGGGTGCCMGAGCCCTGGCMCAGGCTGCCCAGGGAGGCTGTGGAGTCTCCTTCTCTGGAGATCTTCCAAAGGCGCCTGGATGCCGCCCTGTGYCCCGTGCTCTGGGTGTCCCTGCTGGAGCAGGGGRTTGGACTRGATGAKCTCTAGGGGTCCCTCCCAGCCTCAAGCACTCTGGGGTTCTGTGAGCCGGGACAAGGTGACCGGAGCTGGCCGGACACGGCGCTGGCCGGCCTGGCAGCCAGTTGGCTCTAGCRCCGTGGGAACCCAGAACTGGCTGCAAAGCTTCGAGCGTCACATCATTTTCCCTGATGACAAATGGATATGAGAGAGCAGAGGGAAATCTCCAAACATCAGTCACGGCGCTCTGCAACAAGCAGTAATTACATGTGCTAGGGTGCCACCTTCCTATGTCACCTTGCTCTACTATTCAATTTTCTAAAGCGAAACCAACTTGGAGTATTCTGGTATAGGACGCTTTCAAAAAGCACCAAAAATCATGATTTGACTGAAGTTACTGTCCACTGTTTGTGATATTTTGCTGTGTGTTTATTACTTCACTTGTCACCTTTTAAATTTTGGCCCTGACTCCCCACATATTTACTCCAATTTTATCTTTACACGTGCCTCCACATTAATGTGTTCGTTATGATTCAATGCCTAATTTTTGGCTTGAAAAATCTAGCATAYCTAGTTAGGCCTGGAAGTTTAGAAATAAGCCTTAACTATTAATTACACTGGCGTAACTGCACACCTGCAAGTACGCAGCTATTTGCATGTGCAGGTAGCCTGCTGAGTCCTGAAAGGGCTGCAGCTTGGAAGGAGGCTTCGGCAGAAACGCTGTCACCTTTCAGCAGCCTGAGAGGGACCTGGACTGAACACRCTGCTATCAGTACTGATACACTTGGTATCAATACCAGCAGGGAAGATGAACCTGATTTTAACCTGATTTTTAGTCTGCTAAGCTCAGCACAAAGTGACTAAACCCCCTTGTTCTAGAAATATTAGAATGCACGAGTTGTTCCTTCATAGGTAGAAGAAAGCCAGAGCATCTCGTGCTGGAGCCAGAGCTGCCCTCTTAGCTGCASACCTGTCCTGCTGTCAGCACAGCCGGGCGGCTCTTCTCCTTGGACCTGTTCTTCTGCTTGGGTGGGATGTCAAGAGACTGACGCACAAACACGTGCCATGACATGAGGTGGGGGGGGTTGTGCTTTCATGTGGCTGCCACCAGGCCCAGAAACGTAGTAGGAGGATCCACTTTTACAGCAGTGAAACTTGAATGCTGTGAGGAAGAATGATACTTGTGAAGAGCTGGTGGGATACATAGCATTTATTCTYCTCTGAGATCAACATTCAGGCAGGTTCACCTGGGCTTACGACTGGTCTGAAAAAAAAATAAAACGCGGGAGATGGACAGAGGATTACAGCAAATTTAATCTCTGGCTAATTAGTTGCAGTTCCAAAGAAAGTGATGTGAGAAGAAGCAAATAAGCACGAAAAGGTGTTCAAACAGAAAAATATAACCTCCCTCAAAACCTCTTTTCTCCTCAGTGGAACGGCATGCACATGAGATCACAGCGCAGCCTGACCCGGGCAGCGCTCCGGTGGACACAGTTTAACTCGCGGTTACTTCGCTCCTTCCACCGGGTAAAAGATGCCCCAAGGGGCCGCGCGGGCCCGCCGCTGGCAGCACCGGGGCCGGGCCCTGCCGCG